GTGACAGATTCCATTCAAAGTTGGCACTGAAAGACTCATGTTTAAAGTTCAAAATAGTGTAATGGCCATTTTCCAAATAATTATCTTATATCTTTGATGATGTTTGTAAAGTAACTGATGCTGCATTTCCATTTACGAATGGCTTTTGTGGTTTTGTATAACAAAAATATGTACTTATTATAAGGAATACTTACGCTCATCTCAAATTTTGCAAATTGATCTGCTTTGTCGTTTTCCAGCGCTCGCGCAACACTACTCACCTCCACTGATTTACAAATGTTTATCTACCGCGATTTTCACACTGAAACTATCATTTCCACGTATTTTGTACCAAAACATGAAAAAGTCTGAAAACCGAACTGAATTGCCTAATGCCTGACGTTTGATGACAAAAGATTAATCCACTTCATTAAACTGAGCATTGAACCCACGTAGCGGTTCTCTCTGTCGTTTACTCACACACATGACGAAGACAGACATGAATAAGTTGGATTTTTCTTCAAATCACATGCGCCGTTGGGCTAATGACATGACAATACTTTTTAACCGAGTGTAAAGTGTCATAACTAAATCTTCGAATTTTATAAAAAAAGTCAGTTGTTTATATAAAAATCGTATAGAAAAACAAGTTCGATGTATGGAAAAGTGATGCAAAGGTGTGGCGGAAATCAAGAAAAGGTTTGTTTTGTATAACTAAATATGACAATTTAAGGTTTTTTCGGGCTCTATAGTTATAATAAACTTTAGGAAGCTTTAGGAACTAAATACGTATTTCTGGCAACAAAGGCGACTTTTTGCGCCTTTTGTACAATATCAGGGCACGATCTCCGCTTCTTCAACTGGCATTCCTGGAAAAACCCTTCATTCCTTGGAAATCCATGGGTATTGTCACTAAACGTTGTTAGACCTAAATATTTCGTTCAAATTCAGCTCGAGCGAACTGAAAGAATTTCATATCCGTTTTACCATAGCCATAAATTTTGCCTCCTCTGAATTCCCCCTCATGGCGGGTGCCGTCGGCCCTCCAAAATATTCCGTATCCATGAAACCACCCTTGGGAAAAGTCTCCTTCATATCTATATAGAGGGAAAACTCAGCTAATCGGCTGATAGTATGTGAAAAACCTACCTAGCGCCGTCGCTAAACGTTAAAACTCCCAATCCGTTGAAAAGTCCATCTTCAAATCCTCCTTGGTACCTCGTTCCGCTTGGAAGCTGCAAATTGCCTTCTCCATGCCAAGTGCCGTCGCGATTCCAGGATCCAATGTAAATAGCCCCATTCCCATAGCGGTGCCCTCCTTGAGCAGCAATTCCAGGCACTGGAATAATTTAATAATAAATAATTAAATATAGTTAATACTATACTTAAAATATGCTACCAAAAGGACCAAAAAAAAACTTACAACAACTCATCAGGCAGTTTCAAGAAGAGCAGCTAAAGCAACTATTAATTAAATCTCTAACTAAAAAAGTCTAACTAGTATAATCTAATTAGCCTCCCACCCACCTCCACCGTTCATCCCATTTACTATCAATTCCCGAACGTACTCTCCTTATTGATCGAGACGGAATTTTTGGTTGCCGTAAAGCAAGGGGCGGACAGGTAGAAAAGCAATTTCAGGTGTTATTAAATGTAGCTTATTTGAATATTTCACATTTATTTACAATAAAAGGGCATTTAAATAAAGAATGGTGTCAACTCGGGGTGTAAAACTGAAATTTTTTGTCGGCGAACGAGTGTTGTGCTATGAACCTGACCCGACCAAAGCCAAAGTATTGTACGATTCGAAGGTTATATTAATTTGTTGTATATTTCTGTCTGGTTTGTTATTGCCAATGGTTTACAGGTTCTGGATGTTGTTCCAACGAAAGATTCTAACGGCAAGAAGATCGTTGAGTATTTGATTCACTTTCAGGTAATTTGCGTTGTTGTTCTAGACTGTTAGTGGTTTCTTCTTCTGTCCGCAGGGCTGGAACTCTTCTTGGGACCGACGAGTTGGTGAGGAGTTTGTTTTAAAAGACACGGCAGAAAACCGACAGTTGCAAAAGGATCTTGCTGAAAAAGCGCAATTACAGCTGTAAGTAAACTTTTTATACCTACATGTTAACGTGGGTTTACTGTGGGTTTTGCTCAAGGGCGGATCCGGGGGGGTCATGGGGCTTATGACCCCCCCATTCAGTTCTCTATCCAACGATGACAAATAATTCTGGGGCTCGAATGGTTCTTGAGAAACTTCGAAAATAGCAGCGTCATGTTCAAGTGGATTTCGCAACTCAAAAAAACCCACGCAAATCTAAAACTTCTTGAATTCAAGCATTTTTTGAGAAAACTGCAACATTTCCTTATCGATGGTTCACTTTCTAGAAAGGCCATTTAGTTCTCTTTGGAATGATGTAAAAACGAGCGTTCTTGCTCATTTTGCTTCCGAGAAACATGCAAAACGGGACGGAAA